GAGTTTTGGAGTGTTTTGTGGGAAAGTTAAAAATTTTGGTGGGTCCTGTTGGGAAAGTTTTGGTGGTTTAGTGAGAAAATAAAGTTCGGGGGTGTTTCATGGGAAATGCCCCAAAGTTTTATGAGATTTTATGAAATTCACCCTTTATCAATCTATGCTTCAAATTATCGTGTTAAGTGCATGTTACTAGGTCAGGGACTCAGGATGGTCTATATTGTGGGTTTAAGCTAGTACAATATTTTTAACGCCCTTTTCTCTCGTGTGTAGGAGGAGGGTTACAACTACACTTTCCAGTGACTTTTGTGATAAGATGAACAGAGTGGTCATGATGCTTTTACAAAGACAAGGAGCACAATATGCTGATGAGAATTTCTCTGAAGAGAATGTAGATCAATCTACCTGGAGAATTAATTATGAGTTCAACAATGCTGATCAAGCTGCATCAGATGCTTCTTTGGTACCTTCATCGTACCAAACCGGGCACTACCCAGACAGTTGGCAACATAACTTATACACTCACACATTGCAAGTAAATTGTCTTTATGTTAGCAATTTTTTATTTTTTAAATGCTCAATGTTATTTTCTCACATGCCAACAAATTTGTCAATGTGGCAGGAGTCAGAAAGCGTGCATGATTTGAAGAATGAAATCTCACAAATGCATCAAGAAATTACTGACCTAAAGAAGTTGCTAGCAAGCTGCATGGAGTGGCAGACAAAATTACAGGATTATGTCAAGGATGAGGTTTCTTCTGCAATTCATCAATCAGGTGAGCAATTTAGCATGTTTGATGATTTATATGCCACAACAAGGTTCAGTGTTACTATATTGTCAGGCAGTTGATCTAAATTTCTGATTGAAAAACTGATTATTTCTTTTACCGAACACTGTGTATATCAGAAGTCTATAAGAATTTTTAAAACACCATTTGCATATGCAAAATATAAAATGTACAGTATGTTTTATCTATCGAAGTATCTTTTTTTTTATCATTCTGAACTCCATCCAGCTGAAACCAATCATCTAAGGTATCATTGCATTGTGTTGGCAGTTTTGTTCGCAAAAACATCAGATAGTTCTGAGAGAACACCAAGTTGGAAAGGCAGTTGCTGTATTTGCCATGAAATGCAGATTGATTCTTTAATTTACAGGTACAATATTCATATGCTATATCCTTCTATATTTTTTGGTATTTCCAATCTAGATAGATTAAACTTACGCTATTTACCTTTCCCACCTTTTTAATTCATTGGTATATTAAGGAATTTCTTTCTAATGGGATGTTTGTGGTTGTCTATAGGTGTGGGCATATGTGCACTTGTTTTAATTGTGCCAATGTGTTGAAGTCAAGCAGTGGTGCATGTCCAATTTGTCACTCATCTATTGTTGATGTTGTTCGGGCATATCCTAATACTTGATGACTTGATTCTGATATGGGACCAGATTGTTTTTTCCTAACATTAGAGAGAAGAGTATCAAGAAGCCTCAACTCTAGCTTCATAGAGCTCGGCACTCACTAACTATACCACGGCTGGATCCAGGTTATAGCACTTGTTTACCAAACAAGGTTTGTGTAACCTTGTTGACGCAGTGCTTGTGTTTACTTGTAATCTTTTTAGTTGTTGTCCGCGAAGAGAATAGTTTCTCTTCTGCAGTGATCATTAACATCAGTGACACGCCAAGATAATTTTCTCGAGGAAATGCGCTATAGATTTGCATACTTTCATTTCTCCACTCTTCATTAATGAGGCTGTTGAGGTACTTTTCTGTCACTCAAAGAATATGTGTGATTAGTGCTATCTTCATGTTTTTAGTAGTAATCTCAAGAATAAAGCATGAACAGGATTGCCTGTAGTTGCTTTGCTATTGTCAAGATCTAAATAGAGTATACTTTAGTTCTGCCATTCCCCGCGAAATAATTGCATTTGCTTTTATGTCAACTATACATGGTGCACGGAGAAGTTGAATGATGGATATATGAATTGTTTACATATGAAAAGGTTTGGCTTGATTAGATGGTGCTTAGGTTAGATTCTTATGTTAATGATGGATATATGATCTTGTACATATTGAAGTGCACATCATAGTTTGGAGCTGATGACTTGATTTTACGTGAATTTTTTCTTCGGATTTAAATTTTTTTAATCGGATTTATTACCTCAGAAAAGAACTTCAACCAATCCCAATAGCTGATATTATGGATTGAATTGATTTAACATTTGTATCTAACTTAGCTACCATGAAAGATAAGTTTGATGCTGAAATCCTAATACCACTATCAGACTGAATTAGCCATTAAAATATGCTGAAGTGACATTATTCTGTCCAAAATCCCTAGGGACCATGTAGAAGGATACTGGGGGAAACCTATCAGTCACTAGAATATAAACCTGATCTGATAAAATTACTAAAATTCTACCAGATCTTTTACATAATAATTCCTTACAGATGTTTATTTTGTTAGTGTTGCGCCTAGCATTGTATTAATATTCACTTATTGCCTTCCGTTTGGCCAATTTATATTCTATTTGCAAAAGGAGCGGAGTAATCTTCAACTGTAACTGAAGCACCGACACCATAAATTATCTAAATGAAATCCTAAATCCTAAATTACAAAAAGCAAAAAGAAACCGGTTGAATAGATTCATTTCCTCATTCAAAGTCATCAAATAAAACATTGAGTAATATAAACGACACGCATGCCCATCTCCAATTTACTGTAAGAACAACAAAATCAAAACTCAAGTACATCAATGATTAACAAAGTTGCAGTTGGTCCTAATCTCCCCTTCATCATCACCAGTCAGCACCTGAGCATTAGCTAGGTTCACCATTGACACTGCAAACTGTTGGTAAAAGAGCATAGGCTGCCAAGCTAATGCTGAAACAATCGGTTTAGTCCTTGAGTCAGAGTATAGCAACTGATCAGTAGACAGCAAGCCCATCTTCTTCTGTAAGTTAGTGTAGTACATAGAATCAAACTTGGTTGGTGTCGTTGGATCGAACTCAACATACTCCGATGCCCTTCTGCACTTTCTCTTCAGGAAGTTGAGATATTTGCTGTCAATGCTGGGGTCTGCCTTGCCAGTTCCCTTGAAGTTGTATAACCTCTCTTGGATTATACCGCATTGGCTTCTTCCAATAGTGTGAGCTCCTGAGGTTATAGGAGACATCGTAAACAAGAAGATTTTGTTTAGAAATCATGATAGTCTGTGATTTTGATGTATTTTACCTGAGAGGACAACCAAATCAAGTAGACTTAAGCCTCTAGACTGGAAGAACTCAATGAGATGGGTGACATTCTCATGGCCCATAGGCACAAGTTCTGCTTCTTTTGCTAGTGACACTAGTCCATCTTTTCTCCCGTATGCATTCTCCCAAAATGGACCTCCAATCTAATTAATCGATATTAGTAATATATATATCATAACCATGTGAATAAAACGACATAAATACAGAAGTTTAGGGGATTTGGGATGTAACCTTCACAGTGGCATCCCTCGCAACTGCTGTGAGTATATCAGCACACGAGACTGTTTTTGGGCATTTCTTCTCTAACTCTGCTTTGATATCATCTATCACTTGAAACCCTCTCAGTGTCTCGCTCGCCTTTGCCCACCTCTCGCTTCCCTTATGGTTTAATAAGACCGAAGCATCACATCCCTGGAAAAAAAAAATCCAAAAAATATAAGTAAAATCTATATAGAATCCACATAAACATAAAGATAGAAGATTGATAGAGCAATAAAAAGAGGCGTACTCTAATGGCACAATCATGGAAGTGTAGCCTTATAAGGCTAGGTGCAAGAGTGTAGTCCTTGGATATCCAGTCCTTGACCTTGTTGTGAACAATGGCTTCGAAGTTGGGGCAAGTTCTCGCATAATGATTGAAGGTTAGATCTTCATCGGTGTCTGATATGGTACCGGGTTCTTGATACTTGTGATAAGGGACCCCGCCCATCGCCATTATGAACTGTGAAAGGAGGAGCATCAGGAGTTGTAAAGGAAGAGAAAGGGCCATCTCTACAAGAACCAAGCAAGAGATTTAGAGGTTAGAGTGCAATTTCATGTATGCAAAGAGAGCGTTGGAGCCTTTTATAGACGTGTCTATGTGTATGTTTACTTGTACGCACGAACTGAGAAAGGGTCTTGACTTTCGTTTGGTTAATTTATTTAGTTAAGTTAGTTAAAAGCTTCATGGGGTCCATGAAGTGTGGGAGAAAACCTAAGAACATGTTTGCACATTGGGGTTAGTATACATATTAAAGTACAAAGAAGAGAAATCCTCCTTATCATTTGGTAGGACCTTCTATCTAATGATTATGCTATAATAAGAAACTAAATTTTCCTCATCATATTTGTCAAATCAAGTGAGACATTTTATTTTCCAATTAAAGGATATAAAAAAAAATCTTTGTTTTTATTATAATATCTTGCTTGCAGTTGCAACGGAACGCAAGCAAACATATACCCATTTTTATTCATGAATTACATGGCTAGGTTTTTAATTAAATTGTGATTCATGAGTAGTAGGAGCTTCATTATTATCTAAAAGTTAATGGAATCTCACCTCACACAAGCAATTAGGATTAACCAAAATCGAACCCAAAATCTAAAGGTTCGTACTAGAACCTCCTAACCGTCCGGATAATCTGCGGTGGGTAGGCTTGGTCTTTGTTTAAAATTGGTACTTGTCAAGATCAAGAAACTTGCAATCGCTCTAGCATTATATACTTCGGTTCTAGTAACTTGGCATTTAGCTACATAAGCATATAAGCACTGATGACAAAGTTACCATAGTCCTGAACGTATACCTACTTGCATAAACAGCATGGCTTTACCTAAACCTGAAGCCAATGTGAATCACATGCTGATGCAAGTGAAGCTGTATCTTCACCAGCGAATCAATATTGACACAAAATTAAACTGCAGTAACAAGGTTCAATAGCGCCAGATAGATATCCTTGAATGTGAAGCCATGGACAATGAATGGGAAGGGTATAAAACAAAGGAACAAGTTAAAACACATTTGGAGATCTATCAAGAAATCTCATGAAAGATCAACCTCAAATTCAACTCTAAATAATATGACTCAGACTCTAACAAAATTTTTAGCGGATACATTCTGTTTTGGCTGATTAAGCCTCTTGCTTAGTGAAAAAAGAGCGGTATGTACATAACTGACGTTAGCAATACAGTCGTCAATCTTAAACTAAACCAAGACAAAATAGCTAGCAGTATAAATTGGAGGTCTTCTAACACGATTCAGGCCAGCGATTAAACTTACTTGTAACCTTGAACGCTGTTTTGTTTAATCACTATAAATGAACAATCAAGATCCTCTCATTGATGCCAACAGGGTGGCCAAAGAATCGATAAAGAATGATGTCATGTATCCAGTTAATCTACACGTTCTCTAGATGTGATACTAGCAAATCATTCCATGTATCCGTCAATCCTGGCAAACACCAGTGCATGCAATCCTCATGCTTCTTTCCCCCAGTGATTGAAGGATGAGCATCTGCTCTGAACTCGCTCATATGTGTGATGTCCAATATACGAAAACTTGATGCTTGGAGGGCTTTGTATAGGTGTTGGTTCACCAAACGCACCTCTGAGTTTGTTCCATTGTTCTCCAAAGAGAAAAGTTCTTCAACCTGGTTGAAGAAGGAATTCACAACGTTAATACAGGTATTTTCGGAGTGGAGGCGCTCCATTCCCATCAAAATTCTTTCTTAAGCATTTAATGAGTATTTTATCATTGCCATGTTATGGCCACAAGGGTCTTTGCAAGATGAAATTAAAAACACATATGTATGTTGCATTACTAATAAGCAATTTTTCCTATGAAGAGATGATAACACATGAAATTCTTAGAAAGACCTTTACTTGTACGTTCTTTTCGCAAACTGTTTACTAGAAACGATTTCTGCATTAGCTATTTCAATGCCAAATATACATCTTTATGCAGTGATGCAGGGAGGGAAGGAAACAACAGAAAACAGGAAACCAAAACATTTCCATGCTTATATAATATATTCCAAAGAATGTTTTTAGATGTGCAAGTAAAACCAACATAGAGCTCCTTGGAAGATAAGTAATACAAAATACCTGATAATCTGACAGTGGCTTTACACGCCTACATGAACCACCCTCATTCCAGTCACCTCCTTCAAAATGCCTTGGTGATTGTGTACGAAAGAATTTGATTCCACCAGTCTTCATCTTTTTGTCAACATATGAAATCTGTTTCAGCATATAAGTTGACAAAAAGGAAACAGTTACGGGGAAAAAAGATGAACTAGATCGGGTAATAATATGATTAATTTCTAGTTGTAATAACCATGAGAACAGAAACATGTAGGAGGTGCAATTTGTAACTAAAAATTCATGATTAAGTTACTAAAAATGAGCCTACTGCCTTATACTTTTTCATTAGGTTGTGTCCCTTTTTTTTAAAATCACTTAAGGAAATTTTTGCCATACCATATGCTTTAATGTCATATCCAGACCAAATTCTGGAGGCATTGGAGGAAGCACAGGCATGTCATTCTCAAAAAAGAGCATCGGTGACTCAACAGGATCGAACTTAGAAGGAGCCCACCACCTGGAGGTTAGGAGCAAACAAAAAGACAATGTCATAAATATGTAATGTAACCTGAAGCTATTATGTTACTAATATAACAAAAATAAAATAAAAA